TCTTGACCTAGGATCTTTATAGTACTCTATCACAAATTATTAATATTAACATATATTATTAAACAGTACGTATTTTACCTTTACACATAAACGTCTTTCCATAATTTCTTGAGGTTTGAATATTCGTTCCCTGTCTTTTACTAGCCAGGATGATTCTTGCCACTTGTGCAACTCGAAACAAATGTTAAAATGTCGAAGAAAAGGCAAACACCGAGGCAAACTTCAAAACAAAAACCTAAAATATTTTTTCGAAAAACAGGGGGATGTAAAAGTGGTAGGGGCTCAAAATGAGCCTTGCTCAGTGGTAATTACCACGAGAATTTAGGACCAGTGGTGTCAGTCTGGCGTCAGCAAACGTGAAAATCCTTGAAAATCCGCCATGTTTTTGGCTTCACTTGCTTGACTGAAAGAGAGATAGGAGCACTTCCTCCAGATATATTATAGCTCAGTGTGGAAAACCCATCCGGTTTGAAATTGTGCTAATGGTAAGCAAACTTTCGGATAGAAAATCTCATTCGGATTATGCGCTTTCCATTTAGAGTGACTGACCGGAAGGCACTGAAGGGTTGTTTACCATTTACATGGAAAACTCATCCGGTTTGAATTACAGTAAATCACGAAGAGCTTGGAAATGAAAAAGATGTAAATGGAACAAAATTCACCGGTTGAAACGTTCTAATCGGTAACAGAGGACAACCTTTTAACAAACCGTTCATTCCAGAGAAGTTCCGGTTGGGCCGTCGAAATATGCTTGTTCCATTTACTTTCCGTATAGAATCACTGGAATTTCCAAGTAAATGGTAAGCAACTCATTATTCGCTCTTTTGGTGATGACTCTCGGTCGATATTTCGCGACATCTTATCCTATCTTCCATCGAACATCGGTAACGAAGGGAAGACTTTTAACTCTTCTTGCAATACTGATCATCGTCCAAGTAATTTTGAAAGTGATGACTTCAAACGACTTTGTTACTTCCCACCAAGTATATATGCTAATTCTTTGTATTCTTAACTTTCCTGCAATGTTTTTTATGAACTACAAACTGTTTCTAGTCGTCAGGAAAAGTGGTAAAAACAAAAGAATATCGCCTGATATGAAAAAGACGTTTTCTTTGAAAAATATATCGAGTTGTTTGCTGGTATTCGCTTGTGTTGTGGTGAAAGCCATTCCAACGTGGGTGTACATTGGATTAAGAGTAAACTCGCCAGAAACAGCATATTTTTTTGGATGATGCAAATCTTACAGGGATGTGGACTAGAACCATGGGCTTGATGAATTGTACAATTAACTGTTTAATCTTTTATTGGAAAAACAAGAAGTTACGTACTGAAGGATTGAAAGTTCTGAAAAGTCTGAAAATATGTCGACGGGTTGAATCCTAGCTGCACTAATAACCCTTTTTCCCAAGAAACTTAAGGCTAGAAGGAAACTCGCTAACAATATTTTGGGCATAGTAAATGTGAACACAACGAACTATACACTTATATTAAGGGGGGCAAGGGGGGGGGTCTCGTCTCGAAATCACGAAGATTATTTTTCGATTTCACGAGTCACGAAAAACAAAATTTCATTTTCACGATTTTTAGAAACGCAGAAGCGTAACAAAGTCTGAAACCATTTAACGCGGATTTTCTAGACAGCAGAACTCGCTGACTTTAACATTAGAGCCGTTTAAACGACTATGAAAATCATTGCGAGGCATTACAAAATATTACGAGAAACGAAGCAACCTCAAGAAACGAAGAAACTTCAAGAAAGACAACCGCGGGAAGCAAATTTATTTATTTCCCATTCCCCCCCCCCATAATATTAAATTTGGGCCGAGTTTTAAACGTAAACATTCACAAGTTACGGTTTAATATTGGTAAATTCAAGAACCTAGCTAGCCTTTTAGCTCTTCACGATTCACTGCGCGCATATTAATCACGATTCACGGAATGGTATTTCACGAATCACAAAACACGAATAATAGCTAATCACGAGTCACGAAAATACCCTTGCCCCCCCTCTATATTGTTCTATCTATTAATACGCATATCATCATCACCATAAGAAAAAGACAGTAGCTGTAAGTATGGTATATAAGGCACTGTTATGCTTGTAATTTCCTGAAGATGCTTAAAATATTGTCGAATAAAACGTAGAAAAATAAAGATCTTTCATTTCTTGAAATTATTGCATTACGTAAATTTTCCGTGTTATTGTGTGTTCAGTATTGGGTATGTATAGATTTAATTTTCCCATCCCAATAAAGACTACGCCTTTAGCTATCGAATGAGATACTTTTTGTATCATTGCGTCATAAAAACTGAACTAACACGACCGACTTAAAATGGCTGATTTTTCTGCCGTAAACGCGTATGTTTGAGTGTTGAACTTATTCTCTGAAAGAATAGTCAAAATTCAAAAGAATAATTATAAGTAATAACATGACCAGAGGGAAATTAGCGATTAAATTTCCCGACGCCGAGGGAAGATTTGTGAAAGTCCGAGGGCGAAGCCCGAGGACTTTCACAAATCTTCCCGAGGCGAAGGGAAATTTAATCGCTAATTTCCCGACTAGTCAGGTTATTAGTTTGTAATATTATGAAAGCCGAGGAAAACTCAAAAAATTTTGCTGCAGAGATAAGTTTAGCTGTTTGACTTTGTATTTTTCAATGAAGTTGTTTATGAGTTTGACTATTGATTGAAATGATTTAACTCGCGATTAGACAACGAAATTTTGTGGATAAGACATTTTACGAAACCTGAAGATTGCAGAGAACTTGCAATGCCTTTATAATGTTTTTCTTATACACAGCGACCTCCATTTTGGCAAATGTTTGAAAATTCTGAGAATATTTTGCGGCAACAGAGATAGAAAAATTTGTTATCGACCGCTAATTTCAAATCGTTCCTATTTGGCCATTTTTGTTCGCAATGAGATATCATCAAATGATCTCGGAAAATATATTTGAGTGTTTCAAACTCTTGAAATTTTCAAAATAAATAAACACATTTTAGAGAGAATCTAAAATCCAGAAAACTTCTCACTTTTGACTAAAATATACATGCATGTATATGAAACTATTTTAAAATATTCATTTCTCCTCACAACGGCTTCTCGTTCGTGGCATATCATGTATAAGTTGGTGACGGGTGACGAAGACTAAAATTACGAAATTAAGTCAACAGTCGAACATGTACCGGGTGGCGCAAAAAAAATTAAAGTTAACCTGTTTGATTTGTTTTAACTTAAAAGCTAAAAGAGCTATTACATGTAAACTACGTGCATTGTATTCAGTATTGTCTAACTTATATTTTTATATACGCCCTGTGCATTTTCGTGCAATATTGACCGAGAGAGCTGCGTTAAACTTGAGTAAACATTTTTGATAGTGTCGAGAATTAGCCAAAACGGCCTATCAAATATTTAATACAGCATTAACCTGTGCTTAGACGTACTATAGTCAGAAAGTTCACGTTCGTTGTCAGAGACCTGCCCAACGCCGCCGGTATAACCTCACGAGCATTATTTAACCTTACCTATTCTAAACATATCAAAACTCTTTGGTCATTCGTTAAACGAGGCGTATTTATAAAAAAAAAACACTTGACGTTTCTTTCTTGGAACATTAGAACTTGATTCCCCAGGGTCATTAGATATTTAGAATAAATCTTTTAATCAAAATCGCTTCATAAATGAATTTTCATGCATTCCCAAAGACCTTAAACAAAAACAAAAGAGCACCTCCATCCTATAAATATTTATAATTTAAACTTCACTTCATTGAAACGAATATTTACGATAAAATGCTAAGGGTTATCTAATTCTCGACACTTCCCTTTTAGCTAGTTCTCAACACTTCCCAAAATGTTTATTCAAGTTTAAATGCAGCTCTCTCGGTGAATATTGCACGAAATTGCACAGGGCGTATATCAAAATTTAAGTAAGACAATACTGAAAGCAATGCACGTAGTTTAGGTGTAATAGCTCTTTTAGTTTTTAAGTTAAAATAAATCAAACAGGTTAACTTATTTTTGCGCCACCCGGTAAATATCGACCATCTGCTCGCCATCACGGAGCATTGCTATTTGTCGAAACATTTATTTAAAAAGTAGTATATTGTGTAATTAGTCGCTGGGGCACTCTGTGCCTCCAGCGACTATAGGTTTCGGCTTCATCGCGGATTGTTGGTCACATTGAACATTGAACATTTATTTAAACACGGTAAAATCTTCAGTGTAGAATAAAATACAAAAACTATTAATAAATTTCACACATCACTATATACACACTAATTTCCTAACTAAAATGCACTGTTTTCCAAGATTGCCGTGTGGGGATCCCATTATAATGTCAAGAATTGATTAATTTCATTTTTGAAATGCCTCAATGATTTGGACGTACGTGCAGTTTGAGGAAGCGCATTCCATAAACTTGCTCCACTGTAGCAGAAACTACGCTTCATAAAGTCCGTACGTGGTTTTGGTAAATTTAGCTTCATTTCTGCATTTCTTAAGTTATAATCTGTGCTGCGAAATGTAAACATGTTTTGTAAATACTCTGGCGTTAGCTTATTGATAGTTTTAAACATTAATATAGACTTGTGCTTTTTCCTACGTAAGGAAAGATTGTCCCAATGCAGTTTCTCTAAGAGAATGCTAGAGCTGACATCGTAGTTGGATTTCGTAATCACTCTAGCAGCTCTATTCTGCAATTTTTGCATTTTTTCACATAATGTTGCGCCAAATTCGTCCCAAATGGGACTACAGTAATCAAAGTGAGGTTGAATTATAGCGTTGTAAATTTGGATTGCTGTTTCAGTTGATATAAATGGTTTTATTCGCTTAAGAGCACCTATAGCGGAAGAAATCTTTTTACACTTCATATCAATGTGTTTAGACCAAGACAGATTTTTATCAATAATTACACCTAGTGATTTTGCCTCATCAACTTGTTTAATCACATGACCATCCAGGTCAATATTGATATTTTCGTTAGTGTGCGCATGCATACGTTGTCGAGATCCTATTATCATAAATTCTGTCTTGGCGATATTAAGGCTTAATTTGTTCGCTTCCAACCAGCTTTTCAATTTTTTTAATTCCGAATTAATAACATTTTCTAGTTCGGCGATAGTGTTGGCCGCATAACTAATGTTCGTATCATCAGCAAACATTCTCGGTACTGCTGCACTGAGACAATTAGGAAGGTCGTTAATATACACAAGGAAGAGTAATGGTCCTAAGTTACTTCCCTGTGGTACACCACGTGTAACTGATGCAGATGATGACAAGCAACCTCTAACATTACATTTCTGAGATCGACCGGTCAAATAAGACTGAAACCATTCGAGACTTAATTGATCCATACCGTAAATTCGAAGCTTCCGCAGCAATATCTGATGATCAATAGTATCGAATGCTTTTTTAAGGTCGATAAATATTACTCCATTGAAGAGGCCATTGTCAATATTAACTGACCAGTTACTAGTGGCTTCAAGAAGAGCAGTAAGTGTACTATGTAACGACCTGAAACCGGACTGGCAATGCGTTAACAAGCTGTTAGAACTGAAGTAATTATAAAGTTGCTCAAAGATTAATTTTTCGAAGATTTTGGCTACAGCTGAAATAACTGATATTGGTCGATAGTTATTCGGATCATTCCTTTTTCCTTTCTTAAATATTGGTGTTACTCTAGCCATTTTCCACTCGGATGGAAATATGCCAGTGTTAATTGATCTGGCAAATATATCAGTTAATGATGGTGAGATTATTGCAGCTGCTATTTTTAACAGCTTATTAGGAATGTTGTCGAGACCTGGAGCTTTTCGTTCGTTAATTTTACTCAACAGAATATAAACCATATCAACCGTAGGAGGTCTAATGGAAAATCTCTGCTCAGTTGATTCTAAATAGTCTTCAGGGTTGACGTTAGAAATGGGTATCTCTGAGGCTAGATTCTCACCAATATTTGAGAAGTGATTGTTAAAAGCTTCAGCTATATTTGCAGGTGTATTTATTGTTTTTCCGTCTACTTTAATCTCGTTAATGTTACTTGACTTATTACAATTACGCGAGCTTAGTTCGTTAATTAATTTCCATGTTTTTCTTGGATTTGTTTTAGCAGTTTCCAAATTCGTTATAAAATACTCTTGCTTTGCTTTTCTAATTTCGTTATTGGTACGATTTCGAGCAACCCTATATTCTTCCCATAAAGTTTGATCATCGGCCAATGTTGCTTTCCGCTTCAGATAATCTCGTTTATGCATATGTCGTAACAATTGGCTTGTTATCCACGGCGATTTTTTTTTGCCTGCTCTTTTGGAGCGAGATGGTGCGTGCTTGTCAATGCACTCCATTAATAAACTTTTCCACGTGTCCCACATATCATTAGGATCAGTATTTGTGTTAACATCACACCACCGCTTTTGTTCCAAGTCTCTAAGAAAATTGTCTCTATTGAAATTCTTTAAACAACGAGTTTTTATTGTGCGCGTCCCGGTACGTTCTATATTAGTTTTATAAGTCATAAACACAAGTGAATGATCGCTAATAGATATGTGGTTAACGCCGAATTTTATTATTTTTGATGGTACATTTGTGAAACATAGATCAATCAAGGTTTGAGAACAATTAGTAATTCTTGTAGGTTCGTTTATTAGCTGATCCATACCATAAATATCTAGTATGGAATTCAGTTTTACAGCATTGGCCGAGATCGGTTCATGCATAAGATCTATGTTAATGTCACCTAATATACACATCTCTTGATTTTCTGAGTCCAGCTTTCCAATAATATTTTCAAAATCATCTAGATAACTAATTGGAGAGTTTGGTGGTCTATACCATGTGCCAAGAATCAACGATTTTGACCGTGGTTTGGTAATTTCTATTATAAGACATTCTAAATTTTCGGAATTCAAGTCATCTCGCGTTATATAATTAATATTGGATCGCACAAAAATACAGACACCTCCACCGTTTCGACCATTAATTTTTCGATCTTTCCTAATTATCTCATATCCAGGGATATGGATTTCACTATTCTCAATCGTTGAATCTAATTTAGTTTCGTTAATTGCAAGCACATCTATTTTACCATTATTCATATACACCCTAAGTTCGTCAATGTGAGCTAAAAGGCTATTTATATTTAACGAGGCCATCACTAAGCCACGTCCATAGACGTTATGACCGATAGTTAAAGGTGTATCTTCAGTTTTATCATTATTATCATCTGGCAGCACAGAGATTAGGGATTCCCATCCGGCAATATTTCAATTATTATGATTTATGATATTTAAAAAATTACGAGCTAATTGAGTAGTTCCGTCTCTATTCAAATGCAGACCACTTCGATTTAAATGTTTTTGTGTAATATTTGAGTGGTCTATTAGTGTCCAATTGTGTTGTCGACATAACTTACTTAACGCTAAGTTCACTTCATCAATTTGTTTCCCAAGTCTACTATCATCTGATCTGAATATTAAACTTGATATAATTACCTCCGTTTCCTTTCCATCTGTCTGTTCCACCGATTTAGCTAATTCAACAATTTCCTCTGCACAGGATGTGGGGCTTTCAGATTCTCGTAGACTGTTTGTACCTACGTGTATAATTACTTGGTCGGGTTTCTTTCTCAGAACAGGTTTAATGTAGTCGTACATATCTCTAGTGGTACTACCAGGAAATGTAGATATTTTGACTTTGTTTTCTTTAGACATCCTGTAACCCTTCAGGTTCTTCAACATTGAATCTCCGACAATAGTTACTTTGCGAGATGAGTGTCCAGACTTTTGATTCTTACGATCGCCATTATGCCGTTTACCACCTTGCTTTCCATTCAGACCCCTATTTGGGGTTTGTTTGGAAAGAGAACTAGAGGTGGATGTTTGTTGTGGAGACCTGACGTGTTGAGCGGATTGATCATCATTACTGTCTAGTTGGGAATGATCGCTGGGGTCGTGAGTCGATTGTGTATTTCTTGCTTGTGAGCTCTTGTGATTGTGTTCCTGTTCCGGTTCACAACAGCTATTGTTTCCATCCTCGTTAATTAATAATTCAAATCTGTTTGCGGTGCCAATGTCAGTTCTTGTTAATTGCTTAGTTTGCTTGTTATGATACACACCATTGTTATTAGTATTATGCACTTTCTGCCAAACATTATCGTTTTTTCTAGCAGCGGTTTCAGCTACCTCATTCTGACTTGTATGATGATGACAGTATTTGTCCTGGGCAATAAGCCTAGTAGCTAATTGTAGGGAATCTCTTTCTTGACTTGTCTCAAGCAATTTCTGTTCGAGATATACTATATGCTGTTTACTCTCATTTATCTCTTTTAAGTATTTGTCATTCATATCTGCAGCCCTATTGTACATGGAAAGGACTGAGTCATGATCCTTCAATATAATCTCGAATGAGTCAATTGACGATTGTAGCTTAGTAATTGTAGATTTCAAAATTTCAATATCTTTAGAGGATTGACTGCATGCGCAACAACACGGCCGATACAACACAGCCGCTCATGTTGCAAATAGTACGTAGTCGCAGGGAAATTGTGAGCATGGCCTGCATTCTAGACACTGTCGATATTTATAAATAGGCCTATACTCTGCATGCATGCTTTCAATTTTTATATCTTAATTTAAGATTGTAATTCAAGTGTATAAAATAGCTACAGTATCTGGCATGCTCATACTTTCCCTGCGACTGCTGTCAGTGGCGTTGGAATCAAAAAGTTTGGGAGGGGGGCTGTTTCGAGGGGCAAATGTTTTTTCGAAAATAATAAAATTTTGTTCGGACATATATTTTTCCGAAAATAAAACATACGCCACTGACTGCTGTTTAGATAAAAAAATCATAGTTCTGTATTCGACATTGCCTCAAAAACCAGTCGTCCATGCAGTGTATGATAGCCTTCGGCTTCAGTCTAGTCTATATCTAACCGAAGTCATATTGATAATCATTATACTGATTATGTAGTTATCCAATACTGTGCTATATAATATATACAGTTTATTTTAACTATTTAAGCGTCCAAGTTCTATATGGAAAAGTACAGCCAACATTACCAACGATTTGTTTACGAGATGTAACGAATTATCGTGTGATGACTGCAAAGGAAAACTTTATCACTGCCCTTTGTGCGTACGGAGGAGGATAAAAGGGATCAAACTAAACAAGCTGAAACAGCACTTTGAGACGTTGCATTGGAAGCCTAGAGTCATATATTTAGGTAAGAACACTTTAATTTTCTTTCTCAAACAAATTAAAGTGTGAGCTTTAGGTTTAGCCATGCAGTTATAGCGCATGTTATGCATCAGTCAAATCCAAGCGTGCCCCACCCGATGATGCAAGTCATTTTTGTTGCGATTGAATACAAAATTTTACATTTTCTTGCTGTAATACAATTTAATAGAGCCTTAGAGGATAATCACAGTCACTGATAACCCATTTTCTCGGTGTTTTGCAAGTTTTTTGCTTGGGAACTTTTTGTGGTAATTGAGCATCTACGGTACTATGCATTGAACCACAGAAATTCCACTCCTCAGGGATTTGCCACGAAATTGCTTTTCTATTAAAGCACTGTTTCGCACAATGGCCCACAGCACTAGTGCATGTACTAGTGCATTTACTTTTAAAGTCTGCGCCGTGGTTCGAATTTATGCGTTTTTAAACTACAACTTGACTGGTTTATATCAATTTATTTTATTAAATGTTCTGAAACTGGTATTGTCTTGATTTATATTATCACATTATCGCCACTTATCGGTGATCGTAAAACATCCAAATCCTTAATTTCAAATGCCCCGCCGCCGAAAGGTTCGAGTGGATTTGACTGCATGATGCAGTACAAAGAACCATTATAGATTAAGAATCATTGTATAGGTGGCTATCTATAGAGACTATAGGGTTTATATATATGCATATAAACTATATTCTAGTATTCAAGGGAGTCTCGTTTCTTTGTTTTACGTAATACGTCGAAATTCGCAGGAAACATCGAGAATGATCCCATGAAGATTTCGATGTGCTATTATATTGCATGTGTCGAAACTACCGCTTTCGCTTGTGTCGAAACACACGAGATAAAATTGGTTTGATTATTTTATTTCTTCATTTCTAAAAATATTCTATCGATACGTTTTTTAAATGTTCCTTTAATAGATAGAACTTAAAGAAAAATTGACATACCGGTATATGAAAATCACCAAAGCGATAGAGAAAAATTTAAGGTTAATTTTTATATCTATTTACGAGTTGTGGTACCGCATATATATATATATATATATATATATATATATATATATATATATATATATATATATATATATATATATATATATATATATATATATATATA